CCTGCTGAAGATCTCGCGGTGCCTCCTGCACCAGCAAAATACAACATCCCCAACCCAGACATTTACCGCCAGCGCCAGCCGTCCTTCTCCATGCAGGGCCGGACTAAGAGGCCCAATTATTCTTCTGTCATTCCCGGTCCGGGCACATACAGCCCAGAGAAATTTTATCTGCATCTCCCCAAATCCCCAGGCTTCAGTATGGGTATCAGACACACTGAGTTCGTGACTCCACTTGTGGTGCATATAGCTGACTGACTATTCTGCAGATTCATTTCAAATGCATAATTTTTATTAAAACATTAACACAATGTTACTTTAATGTCAATGTCCTCAAAGACAAATGACAACTAAATAATACATAAAACACTAAAAGTTAAAGTTTTGGTGGAATTGGAGATTGTGAACTGTACAGATAATAAATATTATTCGTTATAAATTAAACATAATATCAGCAACTCTTGCTTCCAACAAAAAAATTTCGGTATGTGAGGGAGTCTCTATGGCTTTGTCCTTGGTATGGTGATTTTTATAGGTGAGCTCCAGTTGCTGCACTTGCCCAGACCTAGCAGCTCTTTTGCACACACCTGGAACAGGTAGGCCCTCCCTGGGGTCAGCCCCTTCAGCTCCACACTGGTGCTCTCAAAAGGACCCAACTGGAGGAGAAAGTATATGATTGCAATTATTCTAATGAATTCAACATCTTGAGGTTAAAAATAAACACATTGCATTGATTTAACGCTTAAACATATTGTATCAGCTCTATGAGGACAAAGTGCTTTAATATCAATATTAATTTGCTTGTGGGTGTCGCACATTCTAAAAACACCAGCCAAAGGAATTTTTGACAACCTGTGATCTAAATGTTGCTCTTATTATTTATTACTTTAACCCTTTAAGATTTGTTATCAAGGCATAAACAAATACAAAGATCACAGCTCTTAGTTGATGGGAATTTCTGAAATTTTCTGACAATAAATAGCTTGATGTTGCCTAAAAAGTTCAAATAATTTCAAAGTTCCCCATGTGGTATCAAAGGTTTTAAACCACAGTTTTGTTCTTACTGTATTTTCAGCCAGTATTGTGTTATGTCAGGGCGAAAATGATTCTTACATTGACAGATTTTGGGATGCCCCTGTTTTCCCACTGGTACCGTATCTGGTATTTCAGGGGGAAGATCTGCAGGTCAGCCCAGGTAGGAGGAGGAGACCACTCCACCAGCAAGTTTCTGATATTATGAGGGGAAACCCGGATGTTTACAGGAGGATCTGGTTTCACTAGAAAATGAAAGCAAGGCAGAAAAGAATATTAAATAAAGTCTCAGGTCTTCTTACAGTTTATACAATATTTAAATGTCAAGCTAAGTTGTGAAATGATATTTCTATCACTATATTCAACACCTTCTGCATATTTTTAATCAGAATAATATATATTTTCAGTTCTCACCTATATCCTCCAACATAAAACTTGCTAGGTGGGAGCTACTTCCAGCAGAATACACTGCAGTCACATTGATGATATAGTCGGTAAGAAGCTTCAGGCTGGGCAGCTGACAGTGCCAGAGCTGAAAAAGACACAGGATAATGTGATATCTGTAGATTGTGTATTTCATGTCAAGTACATGCTAATTTTACTTAATCATAACATGATACTTTATTTATTTGGTGGGAGGAACAATAGAAAAACACAATAAAACAGATAGGATGGATGCTGAGGAGCTGTATACACATACCCAGAAGAACTCCCACTACAATCAGTGTATAACTGATAGAAACCAAGCACAATGGTGCTTTTTTAAAATCTTACTGAAAGACTGTTCACCTCAGACTCACATAGCTTTAACAGTAAGTGTGGATAGATTTTTCCAAAACTCTCTGACCAGCTTGGAAATGGAAATCAGAGTTTTAGATTCAACATTATGCCATAACACACTAACAGATGTGACCATTTCTTATTGTGACATTCCTTATTAATAAGCAATGTTTGCTGCTAAAGGTAAATAAACATAGTGTACCTGTTCAGAGGACGATGATGAGATCAGAGAAGCGGATGAAGAGTTAGGTGGGATGATATGGCAGTCCTCGGTGACTCCTTGTCTGTGCCTCTCACTTGATAAACACACATTTACAGACATTTACCAGTGAGCTTCTTAATGGCACATGACAACTGAGTATGGAGGAGAACAGGCGTTTTTATCATTAGATGTACCTGTACGTGGCGATGTAGTGTGATGGTGGAGAGTGGGAGGACTCGGAGGGCCAGGAACAGAGAGTCAAGTTTGGGTAGCTGGCACACCAGCAATGTACAGTGGGAGTGGGGGGATGAGCTGGTGGACAAAATGCATTTAGTCAAATAATATGCAACATTAGCAGAGCATAAAATACAATAAATATCCACCCATCCACTACCTATACCGCCCCTTTACTTATAGAGTACTGTTCAAGCAAGATTAAAAAAACTGCACATAAGGGGCATTACAACAACAGCACTGTATAAATAAATCATATTAGAAAATGTTCTTATAACTTCAGGAGACGTTACATCGACTTAAATTCATTTCCTCATCACCGTAAAATGTAGTAATTTACATTCTGGGGACTCGCTTTTTGTCCCCATAAGGACGTTGAATCCCCGCAGTGTGACCGTGTAGGCAGATTTATGTCCCCACAACATGAATACTACCGGAACACATACACACCACAAACTAAAAATTATGATCAAATGTTCTCTCAGATTGGTACTCACAGCTTAATGTTGCTGTTGCTCTCATCAGGTCCAGTGCGTGGCCTCCAAGGACACACAAGATGAAAGTTACAGTCACACTGCCAAACACTGCAGCCATCAGTCTTTCAGTTATTATCACCTAATTTCAGAAAAACAGCCAACTGACAACTGTTCCTGTGTGGCTAAGTAGCAGCTGTTATAAACAGCCGTGGTCAGAATGAAAGCGGAACAACAAATATGTTGTATCACAGGAAAACCTCCTTTAGGAAAAAACCCGCCGTAAAGTTTCATTTCGTCATATACAAAACATTTGTCCCATTTGCTTTAATGTTTGTCCCATTTAATGCTTTACAGTGGATATAAAAAGTCTACACACCCCTGTTAAAATGCCAGGTTTCTGTGATGTAAAAAAACGAGACCAAGATAAATAATTCCAGAACTTTAGCCACCTTTAATGTGACCTATAACTTGTACAACTCAATTGAAAACAAACTGAAATCTGTTTTTCAGTGGGACTGCCCTCTAGTGCACGCACTGTTCAGTAGCATAGCACTTCATAGTTTACATGCAGTAACCCTGTGAATTAACATGGTTCACACCTAAATAAGGGTTTGAGCTTTCTGTTGTGTCCAGTTCTGTGTCTCTGCTCCCTGCAGATCAATACATTCACAGTCCAACCTATCAGACATTTTCTTGATTGTCTCTGTGAGGCCACGACAGCTTCTTGGCACTCCATCCAGAGGTGGAACCACTGTGGAGGCTCCAGCCCGCTGCAGGAGCTCCATTCCTATGTATACTAATACTGTGAAGTCCCTGACTGGAGGTCCACAGGGAGGTGAAGGCTTTGTTGATCCAGCTGTTTTTGGCTTCATGGAGATCGTTGACCAGGAGTCCCTGCTGGTGCTCCAGCTCCTGAAGGAGGATGACACATAACAGAACTTTTGCTTTAAAACTAATTAGTTTGTATCTTTATCCTAGTCAAGACTTACAGTACAAAGCTCTTGTTAATTCATAAGTGAGGACATATCTCCAGTAGGTCTCTTAGGTTTCTTAATTATGTGTTTTATGTGTAAATCATTTGCTAGTGTAGATACAATCTGATTAAAATACACATTTGCATATATTTTAGTGTGTAAGTCAAGTAAATGAATGTAGAAAGAAGATTCAATTAACTAAAAACACAACAAAAATAAAGACAATCAAAGGCATAAAAAAGAATAATTATGCAGAAAGGCATAAAACTACAGGTGTTTTGCACAGAAAGCTAATGAATAAAAATGTACATCTTTACAAGCTAAAGAAAAGTGTATAAGAGTATGATTAGCTGCTGTGGCCGACCTAGATACTGAACGCTCAGTGTATTTGTAATTCGACAGAGTACACATTGTTCATGTTTCTATGATTTTATGCATCTTACCTGGATTTTGCACTTAGCTTCAACCATCTGGAGTTTGGTTTGGGCCAGCTCCTGTTCCACCTCCTTGATCTGAGCCCTGAGCGCCTCCTCCTCCTGCTCCTCCCTCCTTCGCGCTGCCTCTGTGGGTCCTTTGCTGTCCTCATGCTGGCTTTGTTCAGCCATACCTTGGCCTTCAGCCATCAGAGGGTTCTGATCTGCAGCTGATGGTTCGTCTGTTTCCATAGTGTGTTGACAGCGAGAGCAAGCCTTCACTGCACTCTGAGTAAACGGTGAAGCAGAGCAACAGGGCAAAATATTCAGCAACTGAAGACCACTGATGTTGTAAGTGATCGTTACTGAGAAAGTGAAGGAACTGAGGTGTTTACCATTTTTTAAAAGGGTTGAAAAAAATGTATACTACAACATGGTGTTCAAAACAAGTGTATGGAGGAAGAGCTCCAGCGGGCGAGCTCGCTCCTCACCTTGAGTAAATCTAACTCTTCTCTGTGGGCGGCCTGCTGCCTCTCCAGACGGTTTGTCAGCTGAGAGCAGATCTGAGAAAAAGCATTAGGTAAAACATCAGTGGGTTCTTTATTAAAACAGCTTCCTAATTCCAAGTATTCTGTTTTTTTTTAATTTTCTGGTTCTAATCACACTATTACCTATTACCTGTTTGTAATCTGCAATGATGCCTGACGACCTTCTGAGTCCCTGATCGGTTTTCTCCAGCTCTCTTCGAAGCACTTCCTTTATCTATAAGAACAGAAGAAATCCTTTACTCATGCACACCTGTGATAACATATCAACAGCTAAGGTGCTCTCATCAGACATATATAATCTCTTACCGCTGCAGTTTCCTCTTCCTTCTCCCTGTTCTCCTCTTCTGCAGCCTGCAGTCGATGTCTAGTCTGTAGAAGGTCTTTGGTGAGTTTGTCTACTCTGTCCTCCACCTGTCAACAGAACGTAAATAGCATTATGTTCAACAAACACTTTCAGTTAGAAATAAACATTTCTTTCATATGACCAAACAAATAAATTAAGCTTTTCTCCGTGTGCCTCTGCCCAGTCCACATGGACTGACAAGACACCAGAAATAACTATAAACCAGATCTAGAGTGCAACACTTTCAAACAATATTATAAAGGCTCCAAAAAAGAATAATAATAAAAAAATAAAAATGAATAAAAATCTGATTTTTATAAGTCACTTAATTGTATATGACTGGAGAAAAAATAATTAAAAAGTCCATCTTGCCTCCTTTTCAATGTGCTGTGCTCAAAACTTAAAAACAACTGGTCAAATTTCTGTCAGACCGTTTCATAAAAAGAGCCCTTTTTATTTGTAATGATCAGGGCTAATCATACCTTGTCCAGAGCTTTCCTCAGCGTGACCTTGCTGGTGTTCAGCCTGTGGGCCAGGTTATCATTCTCCTGCTCCAGACGAAGGCTGGCCTCCTGAAGCCGCTGGTTTTCCTTCTGCAAAGCCAGATATCAAACCCCAACATTCAGAAAGCTAGGAATGAAAAATGGAGTGCTGTAGTTTTAAGGCAGCAGAGTTTTTTTTATCAGTTAAAAATACTTAATGCATTTATTTCTGAAGAAAGTCAAAGACTTCTGACCAGGCATTTGCCCAACGGGTCTTCTTCTTCATCATCATCCATTATTTGAAGCCGGCTTTCCTTCACTTTAATTTTCTTTGTCGGGACCTGTGGGGGAATAGACAAGGCTAATTAAATACAGGGAAAACTGTCATATTTGACTGAGCTGAAGAAAGCTATCTCCTCCAAACAAATCTGATCCCGGATGCTGGATGAGCGTGACAAATCAAGAACATGCCCTCAAAAAGAGATCTGGATAGGGATAAGACTGAGATAAGACAGCATCATGAGCACATGGGGAAATGATAAGCCCGGATGCATGAAGGAATAAAAGTGGATAGGAGGGGTTTTTTTAAAGCATGAAATGGCAATTTTTATATCATGGATATCCAAAGTGAACAATCAGTCTGGTTGTGCTTGTAGCTGCCAGCCAGTATGGGACATATTGAACACACAAGGCTTTAGGATTAATTTTATTTCTGTTTTTTGAATTTGTCTAACTCTGATTTCCAATTTACTGGAAACCCTACAAATTCAAGTTCTGTATCTGCAAGAGCTTTTGGTGCTTTGCAGTGACGCCAAATTTGTTATTCTCAGTGTGTTCAGGCAAATGAAAGATTGTGTTTTATCTAGCGTAGGAACATTATAGAATCATATCATGGTTTGGAATCTAATAAATTGCTAGTTAATGTTGAAACTGTGGTTTAGTTAGGAATAAAATCAAAGTGTGATCCTGTATAATTGATGGAATCCATGCAACAGTGAGTCTTACTGTGAACGTAGGTCCCGTTTCTGCCACCAGACAGGCCAGGATCTCCTGCTCGCTCATCTGTTCCATAATGTGAGCGTCATATGCCATCATTGTGGACACCTCCTCCATCATCTTGTCCAAAATATGCAGCCCCAGGAACTGCTCCCAATCACACAGACACCAACACTGGCAGCCTCTATGAATGAGAAGCCTCCACCAGCAGTCTCAACACACACTCTCAGTCCTGAATAACAATACTGTCTCTTGAGAGAAACAGAGTTCAGAGTGATCAAGTTATCTTGTTTTCACTTGCAGTAATGCAGGCAAGCAGTCAGTCCAGCATGTGGATACAAACAGGAACCATTAGAATGAAGTCTTCCTGACACAAGGAGGCTTGAAGTCCAAAGGTGAATAACACAGAAAGCCAGCCAAGCAGGGAAACTGTGACTAAGCTCACAAACCTTGGCACTCAGAGCCACATACACACAGTGGCAGGTGAAGGAGTGTGTCTTATAGGTGTATAGACAGTAACAGGTTCACCAGGGTTTATATCAGACCTGTGATTGTGTGCAACAGCCTGTGTCTAACAGCCTTAGGCACACCCACTACAGTGCTCACCTTTCTTATCACGTCACTCATGCACACACAAACAACACCTTCCTATGATCCCCACCTCTGAAATGAATCAGGTCAAGTGATAATGAGCTCCTATAATGATTTGTCTTGTTGTCATACTGTACACTTTCATTTTCATCAGTTTTCCTATATTCCGTTTCTTCACACTCTTATCCTAGCTGGCGCAGATGCTGTGTGAACCTGTCAGACTGCAGACTTAACACTGCGGGTGTGCTAGGGTGGAGCAGAAGATGTGTTATTTGTGATATGTCACCCCAGGGTGTTGGCGTGACACAAGCCTATCGTTCTATTATTGTCGTATGGGGAGCGGCTTGACAGGACAGCAAACAGGTCTAGCAGGTAACGCAGCAGGTAATGCTATAGAACAGCAAAGCATGAATACAGAATAAAGCAGCAGCACCTCTGCCCGTACTGTAAATCACACACTTTCTCTCCCCATATTTTCATTTTCAGCTCCACATCATGATACAGTTTCTCCTAAATTTTCCCTCATTTAAAAAAAATTTTTTTGTCTTCTTTTCCCAACAGATGAGTTTCTTTTTGTTTCTTTTCTCACTTCCCTTTCTTCAAGCTTCCACATGTAGCTACTGTACTTCTGTCTGACTTTACTCAGTTTGTTCCTTTTTTTAGCACGCTCTGTTGTGTGTGGCTGCTTTTGAAACTAGAATTTCAACATCCTGTGTATCAACTGTCTGAGTCATTGTATGAGAAAATAAACCAAAAAAAGTCCATCCAGATTATATAAACATTTATTTGTCAAAAAAGGGACATTTTGTGAAACACGGGGGATATTCTCTTTTGTACATGATATCAGAGTCTATGAATAATCTACTTTCATATATAAAGACTGAAAAATACAATTTTTAACAATCAGAACAAGAAGAATTTATCTAAAAATAAAAAGTGAAAAGGTTGGTTGTCATACAGCTGTGATACAACTGGTCAGCACAGAACTGGTGATACTAAAACTAAACCTTCACCAAACTGTAGGGACTGTATTTTTTAAATATCAGCAATGTAGCAGTGAACACCAATGCTAAGTTTAATTGAACAAAAAGGTAGTTATATATATGTAAATTGACATACTGCTAGACAACAAACACCTAAACCCTGGCTAAACTACAATACTTTTTAAAAATATATACTGTAGATTCAGGTGTATACTGTGGAATAACACTGCATTTGTACTGCACTGTATAGCAGATATAATGGCTTGTACTGTAGATACTAAAATCTGACTTTCAGGATGAACAAAATATGGTATGTGATCCCATCACCTTCTTTCTAAAACATCGGTATAGTCCATGTCAATCTGTAAACATGAAAATTCATCAAATTATATGGAAGACGTTGCCAAACAAACCTTATTTTAGTAGAATAGTTTCATTGCAGAAGAAGAAACATGGAGGAAATTCACAGAGATAACCGAGACTAAAGTGGTGACAGTGGAGGTTCAGCATTTTGTAACCAGACGTATCGTGGTGTTAAGATCAAGCTGCGATGGACTACAGCTCACACCTGCCACCGCAATGTGTTTAACTTTCACCTCACACTTCACATTTGACTTCATTGGTGCTACAATAAGTGACAAAAAATACAGATAGTAAGAAAAAAGGATTTCTATTTGGAACGTGCCTTGGGTATTCAGACTTAAATCTAATCTAAGGTGTTATTATTCCACTGTGTTTTGAAGGTTTCTCATACTAAACCCAGTAATAATTAATGATCGACAGTTTGTATTGTGTAAGTATCGTGTGTTATTTTCTGAATATTGATCTGCTATTTATGGATAACAGCAAGTGAAGCAAGTGCGATAAATGATTATTTGGTTTCTGAGGCTATACTTTTAAAAGAATTGCCTAATATGTTCCCTATTTGGAACTAATTATAAAAAAGTAATTTGACTGTGCTAAATTTCACCTCTAATTAAGCTTTTCAGTCTGTGTTAGCACGTCAGCTGAACATGTAAGACCAGGCACGCAAACAATACAGTTCAATATACTGCAAACGGAGGAGAATGTTTCCAAAAATAAATGATTATTAATGATTTATTTGGGTTTAAACTGAGTATTTCTTTCAACTGAATGTTTCCTTTGGTTAAAACTACACATCCCCAATGAACTGAATGGGAAAGTGTGTCCAAAGTAGTTGCGTATAGAAAGCTTCATGGGAAACTGCTTAGAAATTATTCAAAAATACAAACCAAGGCAAAATTGACCTTATTTTTTTCTGACCAACAATTTTGCATTTATGATTCAAATATCTATATTATTTGTGTTAATGCAAAACCAGAGCACATGAGTTGTTTAAAACTACTTTTCATGGGAAAAAGCATTTCGTATTTCATATGCTTTTACTGGTTAATGTATAGTTGATATTTGCTTATAATGTGAATCCCTTGCACCTAAATAGGAAAAATGATTTAGCTGTGTTTCAGTGGCTGCTTTATGTTGACATTATACTACATGTGTTGTTTTGTGTCTCTGACTTTATCAACCCACCTTCATTTAGATTGGATCACATATATGATCCAATGACCAAAATGCATTTTAGCAGCACTTCTGTGTGACACAAACTGTTGTATGCTGCTGTCTGAAGCTCCACAGCGGCTGCTCAGTGAATGTGCTGCCCAGACATGGGCTCTGTCAGTGGGCTCAGTTTATGGGTCACTCCCCTGGATGAATGAGTCTGGGTAAAACTGTGGCGGCTGGCTGAAGGGTGCATTTTCAGTAATGTGGTACGTGAGACTAATTGCGCTGTAATCCATCCCCTGAACTAAGTTTCAAACAAAAAGGCTTGTGCTGGATGTGTAAGTGACAGATGTGTATATGAATATCAGTAAACGTTTTCTGTATGTTTGTGTGTGTCTTCATGGTGCAGTAGAGATCAGACCTGGGTGCTGTAGGACCGCAGCAGCGGAGGAAACATGTCCGTGGGACTGTAGTAACTCAAAGCAGAGGAGCCCTGTGGGTTGGCAGACAAGGGTAGAGAGACAGATTGGTTCTTGTAGTAGGTGTGGAAGCCCAGTCGCTCCCCTCCGTTACACATATCGTCTGCATGTCCAGAACGGTGGGGATAGGGCGAACAGGTGGGGCAGCGGTTGTGGTGAGAACCTGTGTCCAGCTGATCCAGTGAGATTGGGGTGATGGCTCTGCCGTCCATGGCAAGGGCGTTGCAGGTATTGCACGGAAAGTGAGAGAGAGGGTCCGCTCCTCTCCCAGAGCCCATGTCCACCTCAGAGTCATTCTTCCTACAGCAGTAATACTACAGATGGTGGATAAGAAAGGGTCAGTAGGTGTACCTAATAAAACGGTCAGTGAATATATAAATACACAAAAAAAGCATTTTGAAACACACTGTACTGTAATGTTACTAAACTAAAAAGATCCATCTCAATAATATATTAAAGGTGCAGTGTGTAGATTTATTTGCAGAAATGGGCAGTAGCATGTATCATTATGTTTTCATTAAAGCGTAAACACCAGAAAAAAAGTTACATTTTTTAAAGTTTAAAATAACCCTTTTATATCTATATAGAAGCGGGTCCCCTATCATGGAGGCTGCCATGATGAGCCACCATGTATTTGATCCTGTTTTCACGTTTTCAGGTTGAAATAGCAACTTGGATTTGGAGACAAAGAAGAAGTAATGTTAGAAACAAGAGGAAGCATTGTTGTGAGTTTAAGAACTCTAATTTATAGAAATGGAGGATCATAATTCTACTGTAATGCAAGAAAATAAAAGACCATATGAATCCCATCATGGCCTTTCCTAGATGGAAATCCTTGATGAGGGGACAAATGTTTCCAGAATGATGCTGGAGTTGCTGGTTTTCTGCTGGACAGGTAACTTATTCTAAAGGTTAACCTAAATGTAAGGTTTTGTTTGATACTTTTAGCTGGAACACAGCCAGTGCTGGATAACTCACTGCAGTCAAGTGAGATGCTATTAGAATTTGTTTGGGCAAGTCAGCTGCACTTTTTTTCTGAGTGCACAAATTGTCCTACATTTATGGTAATCGCTGTGAGGGCTGTTTAACATGATGTATAAACGCTGCAATCTGCAACCTCACCACTAAATATCACACACTGCACCTTTAAAATGACAAAAAACAAACAAAAGACAGTATTTTAAAATGACTGAACTGAAGTTAAATATATTGAAAACTTAAAAAAAAACCTTTTTAAAAACTTAGTGTGTACATGTAACAGGACTGGAACCAGTTCATTTTATAATCCTATCTTCATTTCATACATTTCAACCTCCAAAGCACAAAAAAGAAGGTTTGTATACTTAAATCAATGAGATGTTTCCTATGTAGCTTGATTTTTGTCTTTAGTTGAGCACATTGTTCTTTACTCTATACACTTCAAACTCCCCCTGAAATTCACTGAGGTCAGTTATTTTCATTAAGTCATCTAGCTAAAGATTTATATTCCAAAGGTTTTAAAATCCTTTGGCTAAAAAAAAAGTCTCTTTTTAAATGGCAAATTCATGCGTACGCAGTGACACCTGGTACCTGGAGTCTACAGTAACAGAGCACTGCTACAATGCACAGCAGTATCACTCCAGCAAGAATTCCTCCGGTTATGACAATAGTTCCCGCTGACATCCGACCAGCTCTCCATCAAACCCTCCAGAGTAGGAAAGCAGAAGAGAGAAGGGAAGATGGAGACAGACAGAGAGAGACTCCACAGTAAATGAGCCTATATGACATCTGGATTTCATGAAGGAGCAGTAATGTTTGAGCTGTTAGCAAAGATGGACACTTACATTAGATGCAGAGATGGAGGAGTGTGGGAAGGTAGCAAACCATGACAGTCCTGTGGAGCATTGCCCTCAAATCCACCTCTCACTGGAACTACTGCAGAAACACAGCACTGCAGTTAATGATTGTTTTCATTATTGATCAGTCTATTGTACCAGCCCTTACTGTGATGTACTTCAAAGTACTCAATTACCTTGATAAACAGCCAAACAATCCAGAAGTATTTTATTTACAATGATATGAAAGGGACAAAAACAAATCCTCACATTTGAGAAACTGGAGCTAACTGAGTTTCTTTTTTTTTACATAATGAATGACTTAAAACTGAACTGATCACAAAAAGGATAAACCTTTGTTCAACTTGTTTTAGCACTAAAGTAATATCACACATGCTGTTTCAGATGGCTTGGAATATGGTCCCACGATAAAATCCAAATATAGAGACATACATTGCACATGATAAGATTCACAAGAGTAATTTTAAAAGCAACAGTTGTGAAGTGTGACTGAACTTCAACAGGACCACTTTGGATGAGAAACAGACACTTGGGACAGAGCTGAACTAGCAAATGCAGCACTGCCTGATGTGCACTCCAGCCATATGGCCAGTATATTATACGTATGTGCGGCTACAGACACAGCATGCTAAATCGGATCTGAATGTGCATCTCTCCTTTCATTTAGGTTTACTGTGACTGATTCAAAAACACCACATTGCATAGATAATTGTCATCATGTAATCTCCTGGATTGGTTTCATAATGATATAGATATTAAGATACATAAGTAAAGATGTATTTACCGCATCATTCAAAAAAAAAAAAAAATACAGGCAATTATTTATCCTTAAAAGCACAAGTCAGGAAAGTATGGCGATTTATACACATACAGTCAAGCTGTTGGCTTTATAAACTCGTCCACTGTTTGCTCTGCACTGCAGGTACAGTGGGTACAGAAAGTATTCAGACCCCCTTAAATTTTTCACTCTGTTATATTGCAGCCATATGCTAAAATCATTTAAGTTCATTTTTTTCCTCATTAATGTACACACAGCACCCCATATTGACAGAAAAACACAGAATTTTTGACATTTTAGCAGATTTATTAAAAAAGAAAAACTGAAATATCACATGGTCATAAGTATTCAGACCCTTTGCTGTGACACTCATATATTTAACTTAGGTGCTGTCCATTTCTTCTGATCATCCCTGAGATGGTTCTACACCTTCATTTGAGTCCAGCTGTGTTTGATTATACTGA